TATTGTATTTGCCTATACAAAATTTTGTGTTAATACCGATATATTTAAGGGAAAAACCAGTTTCCGGGAATATATACCTTTGTATGGGGGTTATGGGAAATATTGGATCGATTGTAAAGATTTTGATCATAATTGATCACTGCCTTGAAAGAATAATGTGTGACAAAATTCATCGAAATATCTTTGGTAGTTTCTGAGAAAACTTCAAAAGAGTTTAGAAAAAAAAACGTATTTTTTCGAGGTAGTCTGAAATTTTTACTTATAACTTTTTACGTGGTGAACCGATTTTGCTGATTTTCAATACCAAACTGCTTAGGATAATAATAAATATTTTGGATGAATTTGGTTTATTTCCTTTGCTTGGTTTTAACGTGAGCGTGTTTTACACAGACAGACAAACGGACATAGCTAAATCGACTCAGAATTTCATAAGGACTCAGAATATATATACTTTATTGGGTCTAGAATGAATATTTCTTGGTGTTACACATGAAACGACAAACTTATATATACCCTCTATCACCACTGAGGGTTTAAAAAAAGTAAAAATGTTGATTTTTTAGGGGTCACATTATTTTGATCAAATGCTAGTGAACATATCTTAACAAAATAACTTTCTTAGAATATGTTGTTAATGAAAAACAAAATATATTTTAAATTTGATAAAGTACAAAATAATTTCGTTGAACTAGTTGGGTTCCATTGAAAAAAAAAAAAAAAAAACATAACCCAATATTTATTTATAAAATTTGTTAGTCTCAAAATTTATTACGTCCACGAGTTTTGTGTACTAAAATAACTTATTATTTATTTTACTTATAAAACAAATTTATTACTCTATAGATTTTTTTACTCATATAAATCTCATACATAATGTAAAATTTATTAAATTGTTTACCACCATTAAATGCTCATAAAAATGCATTTTTCGAAAAATGTTTACTTCATTTGTTAGACAAAAACAACAACAATACACTAAAGATTTTATTAATCCTTATCTTAATGATTAGACAATTATCGGAATTGGTAAGGTTTAAAAAAAAAACGATAACGATAACATTATCATAATTGATTATTTCGATTGTATATCAAAGTCAAATATATTAAGTGACGTAAAGCACGTGATTGATCATGTGAGAGAGCAAGAGCAAATTTAAACGTAAATTTCTATCTCAATTTATATACAAATACACTAAGAGATACTAAGTCTACAATTTAACAGCAATTAAGCGTAAAACATTTTATAATAATTATTATGATTATTAAAAAGAATTAATTAATTATATGATTGATTAAATTTATAAATTGTCTAGTTGTTGAATATAATTGATAACGTGGAACGAAAATTTTTATTATAACAAATTTTACTAAAATTTTCTCACCATTTGTCATTATTTTAATTCTAGTTAAGACCCTTAATATGCTCCTATTTAAGTTGTCAAATTAAAAGAATTTCAATACAATTAAAGGAATATTTAAATACTTGGGTGATATTATGAATAAATAGAAATAAATATTTAAAAGATATTATAAATTATTTTTAAAATGTTTCTCAATCATTAGAAATATATTAAATGTCGATTCTTTTATTTAAGCTTACAAATACTTCAACTACTATCAAGAAAGATTATAATGAAAATAGAACAAACGATAAATTGTAGTTGTTCATAGGCGACTTTATGATGTGCTATAATCCATCTCAGAATATTTAAAGTGATTTTAGAAAGCAATAGATTTGGAGAATAGGAAGTAATATGGTTCTTATAGATTATTGTATCACACTTCCAATGTCTTTTTCTGTGTGACCATTACATATTAAAATTTTTTCTACATTATCGTGGATTATGTAATAATATCTACTAAATACTTTAACTAACTTTGGACGGAGGTTTTTATACCCTACACCAATATAGTGAGGAGGGTATTCTGCGTTTGTGCTAATGTTTGTAATACCCAAAAATGTTGGTCCTACACCCACCTTAAAGTATGTCTTTCTCAGTCGATTTAGTTATTTCAGTCTGTCCGTCCGTCTGTCTGTTGACCCTATAAAGTATCCCTATTGATAGCTAAGTCGTTTAAGCCATATCCGTCTGTCTTTCAGTCTGTCCGTCCGTCTGTCTATTGATCCTATAAAGTATCCCTATTGATAGCTAAGTCGTTTAAGCCTTATCCGTCTGTCTAAATGTCTATTGAAATCAATTTTATGAAGACCTCAGATATCTTTGGGATTCGAAAAATTTCCAATTTCAAATCATCAAAATTTCGGGACAACCTCTGAAAATTTCGTAAAAAATATGATTATTAACTGGAAACAACAATAATGTTTAGCATATGGGTCTACTTTTGTTACATCAGGTCACGCACCATTAACTGCCTATATCTAGAGTAAATATTTATATATATTTAAATTATTTATATTTTTATGTAGAGCTCTAATAGTTCTATACATATGATACAGAAAGGACCAATCAAAAGGAATGGTCCTAAGATATTGTCAATTAAACTGCGTGATGTGACAAAACATATATTTTTCGGTGGAAATGCCCATATGGTTTTTATCCACCATCAAAAAAGATGGGGGTATATTGTTTTTGTATATATATTGTGGTCCTAGATTCTGATTAGATTCAGAGAGGAGCTAGCCATGTCCGTCCGTCTGTCTGTTGAAATCACGATAGGGACCACACGAGAGGAGCTAAACAGTTAAAATTTTTCTAAATAAATATTCTATATTAATAAGGTTTGTTTGGTGTTGAAAACAGACAAAATCGGTCCACGTTTTCGTATAGCCCCCATACAAGTGGCCCCCCGGAAAACAGTTTTAACAGTATTAACTGGTTTAAAAATACCAGTATAACTATGAAATTGTACATAAATAACACTTTTGTGAACGTAAATCTCTTAACCAAAATCTATGAGGATTGGTCCACAATTGACCCTATTCCCCATATAAGGTCACCTTCAGAAAATGTCGTTAGCGTTCATTACTGGCTCAGAAATGCGAGTACAGCGATGAAATTCGATATAAACAAGTTTTGTATGCGTTATAATTTCTCTACTAACTTTTGTGAGGATCGGATCGGATTATTGACCCTACCCCCCATATAAGGTCCCGTTCAGAAATTTACTTTAACGCTCATTACCGGCTAAGAAATGAGATCACAGCGATGAATTCGGCATAAACTAGTTTTATATGGGCCAAAATCTCTCTACCAACTTTTGTGAGGATTTGTCTATATTTGACCTTTTCCCCCGTATAAATTCCCCTTCAGAAAATGAGCGGTAACATTACTAGCTTAAAAATACGATTACAACGATGAAATTCAACATAAACAAGTTTTGTAGGAACCAAAATCTTTCAACCAAATTTTCTGAAGATCGGTCAATAATTGACCCCACTATATTCAGATTCCGCATGTTTTTTATAGCAATTTAGGAATGAAATGCAGATTAACAGAGACTATTTGTAGAACAATTCCTCTACCTTGCTGGCCCTATATTAGCCCAATCAGACTTTAAGAAGTAATATATACATTTTTGCAACTACCAGTAATATTTCAATGTGTTGCAAATGGAATGATAAAATATATATAAATATATTTATAGTTACAGCTCATTGTTTATAGTGAACACTAAAGCAAACAATACTAAAGTGGAAAATATAGCTGGTTTAGACCGATCATGTGATACTCTATAATAGCATTAATATAAAGTGTCTTTTGAAAATTTATACTAAAATTTATAGCATCAAATTTTAAGTAAAATAAAAAATTATATTAGTCACGTGAAACTCAAGCATTCAGTATATAAAACTCGAATTACTATATAATAAAGTGTAGTTCTTTGTAAAGAAAAAATATAGACTATAGAAATACTAAACACACTTAAAGCGTAAAATACTTTAAATACAATTTTCAAGTGTTCGTATCTTATCTTTTGCCATTCATCACTTTGTATGATTATTATACAAAATACAATTACTGAGACTGTTTGAATACAGAAACACTAACAAATGCATAGCATTCAAAATAATCAATGTTCACATTATTTTTATCTATAACTGAAGTACCGTATATATTTATAATAAAAATAGTTATTGATAATATCATTTTTAATGAATGTGTATATTTAATTTAGTTTTATTTACTCTGGTATTGATTGTGGTCTATTTTTACTGGCTGTTGAGTTATAAATTTGTTTACCAATCAGACAACATACATAATTTGTTACCATAGTTTAATGATTTATTAGATTTATGCTTAATTGTATTATACATATATCGATATATATGGGAAAATCAGGTAGAACTAAATATCTGTAATGTTAGAAAAAGTTATTAATTTTTTTTTTTAGAAAACATGCTTGTCACATTCTATTAACATAGGCTTGGGTGGTAATCATTACAATTTTAATTACAATTACATTTGAAGCAATTGTAATTGAAGCTTAACCAATTACAATTACTTGTAATTCTAATTTACCATTTACAATTATTCATAATTACAATTGAAGCTTTACCATTTACAATTACTTGTAATTCTAATTTGCCAATTACAATTATTCTTAATTGTAATTGAAGTAATTGTAATTGAACTTTAGTCAATTTAATTACTTTTAATTGTAATTGAAGAATTTCTAATTACAATTACTTCTAATTGTGAATTTTTGTTCTTAATATTACAAGTAATTTTTAGTTAGTAATACCTAGATTACAATTACAAGTAATTGTAATTGGCAAAACTACAATTACAAGTAATTGTAATTGGCAAAACTACAATTACAAGCAATTGTAAATGGTCATTGGTCAATTATACATTAGAAGCAATTGTAATTGATTATTAGTTCAATTACACATTACAAGTAATTGTAATTTGTTATTGTTCAATTACATATTACAAGTAATTGTAATTGATCACGTAATTAATAACTTTATATCATTCAAATATCAAACTATAAACTATTCTATACTAAAATTCTTATAAATTATTCTGATTTTTTAGTTTAATTAATAAACACCAGCAACATGGGTGACATGTTCCGAAGTGAAGAAATGGCCCTGTGCCAAATGTTTATACAACCTGAAGCTGCCTATGCATCTGTAGCCGAATTGGGTGAAAGAGGATGTGTACAGTTTCGCGATGTAAGTTAAGCTACAATTTACAAGCAACTATTTTCGCATAATTAATTTGTATACAAAAAATTCTAAAACTTTCAGCTAAATGGCGAAGTAAACGCTTTTCAACGAAAATTCGTCTCGGAGGTACGTCGTTGCGATGAATTGGAACGTAGAATACGTTATATTGAAAACGAATTGCGCAAGGATGAGATTGCTTTGCCAGCTCTGAATGAGGACGATGAGCCTGCAGCACCGAACCCGCGTGAAATTATTGATTTGGAAGCTAAATTGGAATCAATCGAAACTGAGTTGAGAGAACTTAGCCATAATGCTGTTAACTTGGATACAAATTTCTTGGATATGACAGAATTGAAACAGGTTTTGGAGAATACAGTTGGTTTCTTTTCGGATCAAGAAATCTTGAATTTAGATACCAATCGTTATATTGATCCTTTGGAGCCAACAAATCAAACCAGAGGTCAATTGGGCTTCGTAGCTGGTGTTATTAAGCTAGAAAAGTTCTTCGCTTTTGAACGTATGTTATGGCGCATTGGTCGCGGTAATATTTTCATTAAACGCAGTGATTTAAGTGGCATGGTAAAGGATCCCGAAACTGGACATCCTGTTCTAAAGACAGTATTCGTAGCTTTCTTCCAAGGTGAACAGTTAAAACAAAGAATTAAGAAAATATGTCAAGCTTTCCATGCTTCGGTCTATCCTTGCCCCAGTGCTCACAATGAGCGCGAAGAAATGATCAAAGATGTATGCACACGATTGGAAGATTTGAAGACGGTCTTGAATAGTACGGCTGATCATCGTAATCGTGTATTGGTGGCTGCAGCTCGCAATGTACCCACTTGGAGTATTATGATTAAGAAAATGAAGGCTATTTATCATACTCTGAATATGTTCAATATGGATGTTAGTAACAAGTGTTTAATTGGTGAAGGTTGGGTACCCACCAAAGATTTGCCTGTGGTACAGAATGCTTTGGCATTGGGCTCAAAATCTGTTGAAAGTACTATTCCATCTTTCTTGAATGTAATTGAGTCTAATGAACAGCCTCCAACATTTACTAGAACTAACAAATTTACCAATGGCTTTCAAAATTTGATTGATTCCTATGGTGTGGCTTCGTATAGGGAAGTCAATCCAGCTTTGTATACTTGCATCACTTTTCCCTTCTTATTTGCTGTGATGTTTGGCGATTTGGGTCATGGCTTTATTTTGTTCTTGTTTGCTTTATATATGGTGCTAAAAGAGAATACTCTACGTAAAATCAAAGGTGAAATCTTTAATATATTCTTTGGCGGCCGTTATATTATACTATTGATGGGTCTGTTCTCCATGTACACTGGATTCATTTACAATGATGTATTCTCCAAATCAATGAACATTTTCGGTTCCAGTTGGCGTGTGCGTTATAACACTACCACCGTACTGACAAATAATTTCTTACAAATGAATCCCGAATACCATGTTAGTGGTGTCTATCCTCTTGGTTTGGATCCCATTTGGCAATTAGCAGATAATAAGATTATTTTCCTAAATACCTATAAAATGAAACTGTCCATTATCTTTGGTGTTATTCACATGATTTTTGGAGTTATCATGTCCCTAATCAATTATTCCTACTTCAAAAAGACTGTTAATATTTTCATGGACTTTATACCACAGATTGTTTTCCTAACATTACTTTTCGGTTATATGGTATTCATGATGTTCTTTAAATTTGTCAGATATTCAGCAGTCACTGATGAACAAGCTTTAACTCCAGGATGTGCTCCATCTATATTGATTCTTTTCATTAACATGATGTTGTTTAAAAGTCAGGCTCCCTTAGATGGTTGCAAGGAATTTATGTTTGAAGGTCAGGATATAGTGCAAATGGTATTTGTTATTATTGCTGTTATTTGCATACCTTGGATGCTGTTGGGTAAACCTTTCTACTATATGTGTAAACGTAAGGCTGCTGCAGCCTCTGCTGTTCATGCAAATGGTGACATAGAAATGAACGGTGATGTACAAGCTAAGCCCTCAACATCTACTGAAGCTGCTGGCGGTCATGGAGGACATGATCATGAAAATGAACCTATGAGTGAAATATTTATACAACAAGCCATTCATACCATTGAGTACGTGTTGAGTACAATTTCTCATACAGCCTCATATTTGCGTTTGTGGGCTTTGTCATTGGCTCATGCCCGTAAGTATTTAAAACATTTTAAACTTTCTTAAATAAATCTTTATGCTAAATTTGTATGTTTTCAGAATTATCTGAAGTTTTATGGAATATGGTCATGCATATGGGCTTAATAGTAAACCATTATGTTGGAGCTGTAATGCTTTTCCTTATTTTCGCTTTTTGGGCTGTATTAACAATTGGTATTTTGGTATTAATTGAAGGTCTTTCTGCATTCTTGCATACTTTACGTTTGCACTGGTAAGTAGTTGTTAAAATGGTTTAAACTAAATTTGTGTTACAATTTCATTTTTCTTCTATTTTTCTAATAGGGTCGAATTCATGAGCAAATTTTATGAAGGTTTGGGATATGCCTTCCAGCCATTTAGTTTCAAAGCTATTTTAAATGGTAGCGAAGAAGCTTAAAATTATATGTATATTTTATGTAAACATCTAAATAAACGAAATTTAACGATATACAATAATTCTACTTAATTAGAGAAATATTTATTTTAATATTCAGTAATAATCGGTACAATTCCAGAAATCTATACACATTTTGAATCCAATAAGATCTTACTATTTTGGCAATAAAGATTTTTTAAAGATATTGGTGTTAATATCAATACCATCTTGGGGAATTCCAACTACGTTTTTTATACCCACCATCAAAAAAGATGGGGGGTATATTATTTTTGTCATTCCGTTTGTAACACATCGAAATATTCATCTAAGACCCATAAAAGTATATATATTCTTGATCCTTATTAAATTCAAAGACGATCTAGCCATGTCCGTCCGTCTGTCTGTTGAAAGCAAGATAGAGTCCGAACGAGAAGAGCTAAGGAAATTTTGCATACATATTTTTTATTGATGCAGTTTGTTTGGTATTGAAATTCGGCCATATCGGTCCATGTTTTCGCATAGCCCCCATACAAGTGGTGCCCCGAAAACACTGTAAAGTGTCATAGGTGGTTGAAAAACATATGAATGTCAATGAAATTTTATATGAACAAGTTTTTTTATGAGCCAAAATTAGCTTACCAAATTTTAAGAGAATCGGTCCATATTTGACCCTACCCCCATATAAGGTCCCTCTCAGTAAACGACTATAACGGTCATAACTTGCAATGCAACGAAATTCGATATATACTAGTTTTAGGGGAACATAAATATATGTGCTCTTTTTGGAAATCGGTCCATAATTGACCCTATCACCATCCCCCTCCCATATAAGCTCCCCGTCAGTAAATGAATTTAACTCTTATGACTTGCTTTAAAATGATAGTTAAGCAACGAAATTCAACGCAAACAAGTTTGTGGGGAACTAAAATATCTCCCCCATATTTTATGAAGATCAGTCCATATTTGACCCTACGCCCCATATAAGGTTCCCCTCAGAAAATTACTTTAAAGCTCATAACTTTGTTCAAAATCCCAGTAAATCAACGAAAGTCAACATAAATAAGTTTAAGAGGAACTTTAATCTCTCTGCCAAATTATATGAAGATCGGTTCATAATTGACCTACCCCCGATATAAGGTCCCCTCATAAAATAACAATAACGTTCATAACTTGCTTGAAAATTATAGTAAAGCAACGAAATTTGACGTAAACCTCTCTGCCAAATTTTATGGAGATCGGCTGATAATTATGCTTAACCCCCCTATAAGCCTTTCTCAAAGTAAGACATTAACGGCCATAACTGGCTTAAAAATATCAGTATATCAATAAAATTCGTCATGAACTAGTTTTATAGGATCTAAAATCTTTCTGTCAAATATTACGAGCATCGGGCCATATTGTATCAAAGCCTTCACAAAAGGCTTAGAAAGCATTGATATTCGTCATAAAAATGATTTATAGGAACATTGTTTTACCTGTTTTTTGAGGATCGGTCCATGATTGACCTTATCATCCATAAACAGCTTTTTTCAAAGTAACACATTAACGCTCATAACTGGCTTAAAAATACCAGTATATCAATAAAATTCGTCATGAACAAGTTTTATAGGATCTAAAATCTTTCTGTCAAATATTATGATCATCGGGCCATATTATATCAAAGCCTTCATATAAGGCTTAGAAAGCATTGATATTCGACATAACGAGTTTTACTGAAACAAAAATCTTTATAAAATATGATTTGATGGTGGGTATGTAAGATTCGGCCGAATATAGCACTCTTACTTGTTCATTAAAATTTTTTCGATTTACACAATTTTTTTCCGAAACGAACCAATAATGTAAAATTAGGAATAGGAGAGATCTACTGTATGGAATAATATTAATCCATTTTCCAAATGATGCAATCATGCAACAAACAATAACTTCTTTAATGTACATATGTATCTTTCTATGTAAATATACCTTAAATTCTTCTTATGTTTGTAATAAAACTTAAAACTGTTATTTTACTGTTTAAATATACTTGATGTATATATGTATTTAATATTAAAATTAAATACTTCAAGAATGTTTACATTGCAATTTCTTTAAATTATATTTAATATTTTTGAATATTTTAAGTTTACAATTGCCATAAGGTTTTATTTTATATTCATATAGGTAATTAGTTTGTACGATTAAAATTAATTAACTTTAAAATTGTTGAGAGTATTCTAAATATTTATTCAAAAATCTTAAAATATGTTTGAAACATAATTGTCTATTGACAAAAATAAAAGAAGAAAGTGTTATTAATTATTTGCTACATATGATACATTTAGTCTTACTGCACTAAATTAAATAAGTAATTTATTTATAATGCACAGTGGTATAAAAAATATTCATGTTTGAGGGCTATGTCAAATCTTTAATACATTCCACCCCTAAACGATATGTTATATATTATTTGTATTTATTTTAAAATAAATTTTTAAAAAGTGAAAGTTTAAATTTTGTTCAAGAGTATAATAATTAAGTAATTTTTAATCCATTTATAGGTATATACATATATATATACATATGTAGGCATTATTTCCATTTACCACATAACAGAAATGGATTTCATCTTAACCATTATCATTCAATACAATTATATCGCCGCCATAAATTATGCTAGGAATTATAAAACTATTCGCAAAGTCGTTTATAGCACATCTTGATATCAATATTTATAGTACACCTATTCCTCGTTTCACACGGAAAAATCGTGCAAGACAAATGAGTGCCAAAGGAGGAATATGTTATGATTTCTTTATATTCAGAAACTATTCGTGTGGAATTTTTTCATTATATTATTATTAGAATGAATGAATATTTATGTCAATTTTTATCCCGTTATCTTTATTTATAAATTAAATATGAAAATTCAAATGATTATCAGAAGTTGACTTTGTATGATTTCTACAGTTTAGTTTTAACTTAAGCGTGCTTTAGGCAGACATATGGGAATTGCTAAATTGCTTGGAATTATATGAATATATGGGTAATGGATAGTTTGTGTCCACTTTAAATTTTGTGATATATAGGTTGAATCTAAGAGCGAGCATGTTTTCATTATCGTCTTTAAAAATATCTAAAAATATATTTAAACAAGTTAGAAATTGTAGTCGTGCTAGGCCGACCATATAATACCCTACACCTGTTACAAAAATAAAATGTGATTTAGTTTTCATAATAAAGCATTTAAGTTGAATTGTACCTTGTCTCAGATATACTTAAGCCATTTATTGTTGAATAAAATTGTGGACATTTAAATCAAATTTTGAAGGGGGCTTTGTAAAGGGGCCATTGTCAAATGAGACCCTATAATTATAAAATTCATGAGAGTCATAATGAGTAGAACTTGGTTTTGCAGCTTTTTGTCGTGATACGTTTTTATTAAACATAATTATGAACTTGAAAGCCCTATTCGTCGGGTTCAGTTATATCGGGGCTAGGTGTAATCATGGACCGATGTTAACCATTCGTCTCCCGTACCATAGAAGATCATGTGTCAAATTTCATTGAATTATCATCAAAATTGTGACCTGTAGTTTGATTACAACGTTTATAAGCTCTATTCAGGGGTTCAGTTGTAGGGGGGCTAGGTCAAATAATGGACTGATATTAACCATTTTCAATAGACTTCGTCCCTGGGACAATAGAAGATCATGTACCAAATTTCATTGATTTATCTTCAAAATTGCGAACTGTAGTTTGATTACAAAGTTTACATGGACGGACATAGTTAAATCGACTCAGAAAATGATTCTAAACCGATTGGTATACTTTAAGGTGGGTATATGACCAATATTATTGTGCGTTACAAACATCAGTACAAACCCAATATACCCTCCGCAATAAAGTGGTGTAGGGTATAAATAAGTTGCTTAACAAAGTACATTCACATCTTTTTAAAATGACATTAAAAACACTCATAAAATATCAATTGCAAGTCTTGACAAACTGCAAAATGTCACATGTTTTTTCTTAAGTAAAAATCAAAAAAAGGGAAAGGTAAAAACTCTTTGATTTTAAGTACAATATCCTGTATTTTTATAATCTACAAAATGATGGAATATATTGATTTTATCATTCCGTTTGTAACGCATAGTAGATCAATTAGAGCATAAACTTCTTAGAATGCTTCGGTAATTAAACACAAAGAAATAATGTGGAGGGTATAAATAATTCAACACTGCCGAATCTAGTTATACCTTACACCACTATAATGAGGAGGGTACTATGCGTTTGTGCTGATATTTGTAACACCCAAAAATATTGGTTCTACACTCACCTTAACCCATTTACGGTCGCTGTGCCATGTATTAAAAAACGGTTAACTCTGGTTTATTTATTTTTTCAGTATTGAGTAGAGGAAAGTGCTCAGAATAAATATTAAATCAAACAATTTAACTAAATTCATTGTTATTGTTGTAATAATCTATTAAACTTCAGTGGCCAAAAATATACTAAAAACATGTTATAAAATAAATTTGTTATAATTTTTTAAACAAAGTATGACAGTTATTAATTTGAAACAAACGGTCTAAAAATAATATGATAACATAGTAATGCCCGTGTCTGCCATTTCACTCTGTTTCTAGTTTCTGGGACGTCTCTAAACCGTTAAAAAACGCGAGCTACATAAAAACGGAAATCCTCTCTAATGTCCTAATTATTAATATTTTTTAATATTTTTTTTTGTTTCTGCTTTTTTGCATTGTTGAAAATAAATATACCTTGAAGTTTCAAAAATTTAACTTGTACTTTTTGATTGGCTGTAAATGGGTTAAATTGTACCAAACAGCTCAGAGTCGATTAAGCTATGTCTGTCTGTGTGTCCCTGTAAACCTTGTGCGCACCCTTCAGGTCGCAATTTTTAAGATAATTTGATGAAATTGGAAACGTGAGCTCTGGTCTAAGGAAAAACACTATTGAAACGATATACGATATATAACCAGACCCCCCGGATAGGGCTTTTGACCTCATATTTATGTTAAAGGATCTACTATCTCTACAAAAATTGACGAAACTTAGTCTTATATACA